CCCCCCGAGGAACATCAATTCACTCCCACAATTCAAGTCTGCACTTAAAACTCATCCGTTTAAAATTGCCTTCTCCATCTGATATTTCACTGCTGTATTTGAACTTGTTCTTAATGTTTTAATGTTTTATTGCTTTTTTTTAATGCTGTGTTGTTATCTTTGTATTCACTGTAAGGTGTCCTTGGGTGACAGAAAGGCGCCTATGAAATAAAATGTATTATTATTATTATTATGCTTCAGTGGCTAGATAAAAGCCTCATGCTTGTCCATACTCCTTTCTGGGCTCCTAACTTGGTTTCCCTGTCTTGACCCTCAGTACATCCTTATCTTTTTGTCAGTCTACCAGTCTGCAAGTTTCCCTGTTCTTGTCACACTCTCATTCAGTCACCTTCACAATTGTCCAAAATGTTTGACATTTTATCAGGTAGTATTTAAAAATGACAGAAATGCACCAAAAAGTGGAGCAATCTCCCTTGCCAGTAAAATTGGCTGAAAAAATAAACAATCTGGTTTTACTGATTCACAGATTGTTACCTCAGATTTTTTTTAAAAAAGGAACCCCCTAATTGGCTGAAAAAAAAATTTTAAAAAAAGGGACCCCCTAATTGGCTGAAAAAAAAAATTAGCAATGTGATTAGCCTTAAACATTTAGCAATTATATTGCAAATCTATGCAATGCTTTGTCTTATCATCCATTAAGCTTTTGTGATGATTTCTCTTAGGAGGTTCAGACATATACACAATATTAACTCTTTATTCCTGAAAGCCTGTGTTGGGTGTTTGTCTTGGTCATCGTGACTGCATTTTGCAGTGGAGTGTTCCTGTGGTCTCCTTTCAGGTCAATCAGTCACTGGCCATTGGTGTTATGTGATGCTGCCTCCTCCAATATTTTGTTCTAGTACTGTATAGTCAGCCTGTGATCAATCTGCTGTTATCTTATTGCCATTACCTACTACCTTGGATAGGTTTGTCTAAGGTAGACAAAGGTAGGACTCTGTCTCTTGTGTGTACTTTTTTTTCTTTTGCAGAAAAGCACTGCTTTTTACACAGTATATCTGGGACACCACAGGTGGAAGAATCATAAAATGAAGAAAACAGACATTTAAGCACCCAAAATGGTTTTTAAATGGTCTGTGGGAATAATGGCAACAGATACGACCCGCACCTTCTTGATAATTTGAGAGTATAACAGCTTTATTTCTTTTTATTCTGTCTGGCACCTCCCGCTGATATAGACTGCAGATCAGTGTATATCAGCCTAATATTCGTGTACTTCTCAGGGAGGAAAAATAGTGGAGGCAATGACACAAGAGTGAAATGTAACACCGCCGAATCTGGGACACCGCACCAGGGCACTTAGCACACGGGCTGATCCCCAGAGCAGAAATCTGGAGACCGTCTAAAAATGTTGGAGAAAGAGAAATGGCATTTGTGCAACAGTATTATATCTGAGCAACAAGCTTTATAATCAACCCCGAACACTATTTGTATAAAGGTTTTAAACTTAGAGGTAATTTGGAAAGAAATTCTCAAATTGTGTTTCGCTCATTTAAATTTTTATGTCTATTAAAATGATTTAATCCATTATTTAATAGCAGGTGTTTTTAATCCCTATATAAACCTTTAATGTGTGCAGATCCTCTATGCATGATGATTACACTTGTATCATCACAGATCCTGCATTTTGAAATTTGGACCCACCTGACCACAGAGAAAAATCCATTGTCTTTCTGCTAGTATTAGATGACCCTGATGGAGTAGCAGCTCTGTTATGTGACATTGATCGTCTATATTATAGTCGTCCAGTCTGGGTATGTCTATCAAGCTAGCATGGCAGTTTCTTTTGCAATACCACCTAAAGCAAATATGCACATCAATACGTGTCATCTGCAACAACAACTTCTGTTATCCAAACAAATTAGATCATCTTGTGCTTAACCTATTAGACTGCTAGATGTTGCATTTTGGGAAGTGAACTGACTTAAAAAAAAAAAAGTGTTTTTCAAAAACAATGTCCTATGCTCCCATACATTTGCTAATGATCTATGAAAAAGTAATGTTACCTACCATGGTTTGATGCTTTGGTGTGAATAGGTGTGTAGTGATTCTTTGACGTCCGAATTGGTGTCTCGTCCTGGGGTGAGCCATCAATTACTGCAATGCTTTCGTGATCATACTGAGGTAGTGGAACTGGCCCTTGTTGCCTCAAAATATCAGTCAATGCTCTGAAAGAAAAAAGACAAATAACAAAAATAGTTTTAACTCGTCTCTCTTTACACAACTTTTTCACCACGATATTCAATTTATCATATTGAGCAGCAACCCAGTTATTATAATAATACCATTTTGTAAGAGTAAGCGAAACACATATTTAAAACAACTGCTGCAGTATGTTATGTGTATGGTAGATAAACTTTCCTCTGTGGGAAATGTGTGAGAAATGTTTTTTTTTTTTGTCCTTTAACTAAATCTAGACTTTTCCAAACTCCAATTTAAGTTGAAGGAACAGTATCATAACAGTGACACTCAATGGCTCTTCGTTTTTCTAAATAGAAATACACTGCTCATTTCAATTTTTGTAAATGTCAATCTAGAGTAAGCCCCCAGTTCATCTTCTGTAACTCTGTGACTTTGGGAACTATACAGTGTAGTATATAAATAGCATCTCCTTTCCAAGACCAGCACACTTTAGCCAATTCATTTATACCGACAGAGACGACCTGATTTGAAATGTCCTAGTTGGCTGCTACACTGTGCGCAGTAGGGGCAAGTCTATTACATGTCAGAATCATGGTATATACAAGTAAGGGTATCTGTTCTTCAGCAGAATGTACTTAAGTCAACAACAACAACAACAACAACCTTTCAACAATAAAGGTTCTCACTGGCTCCTCATGATTTTCTTTGACTGGTTGGCTTCAAAAACACTTTAGCAATCCAGCATAGTGCCATAGAAAAAACGGTTACCCCCCATACTGATTATTAGAAAAAAAACAGTGCGAGGAGTGTCTTCATTTGTGTACTTGCCAATACTGAACACAAGTCACCATGCTTGCCGTGATTATCTTATATTAAGGCAGGTGTAGGCCCCAAATCACATTTCATAGACTGCAAACTTTAGTAACAGAAAGCATCATTAAAACTGATAATAGTATGACCTTATTTTGTATTCAATCCATCTTTGAACTAAAAATGTATCAATATTTAAGGGATCATTTCCAAGTGCCTGGAAGACTGCATTTGCACCTCCTATTTTTAAATCAGGGAGACCCACAGAACATCAGTAACTAATCACCCAATTAGCATCCTACTTGTGGTATACAGGGTTGCTGAAAAGTGGCTATTGAGGCATTTTGTCTCCTTGAATACTAGATAAATGAATCCTTATCCTAAGTAGTTTTTAGGGCTAACTACTGCACTGAAACAAGTAACTGTCTTTTCTTAGTTATGGTTGACAAAGGAGGTGTTGTTGGTGCCATTTTCCTAAACCTGTGCAAAGCCTTCCTTCTTGTCAAGCTGTCCACTTCCAACTTCTCAACCAACAACTTCCTTCAGCTCACGAGTTTAACAATTGAGTACCACAAGGATCAATCCTTGGTCAACTACTATTTTTTCTATATATCAACGACCCACCATTTGTCTTATCTATTGTGGAAAACTATATGCAGATGACACTGTGACGTACAGTATGTGCATGTCAGGACAAAGCAGTTGGCAGCTGCCAAACTCACTCCAGCACTAAAACATCATTAAATGGATAAACTGCTCCTGCCTCCAACTTAATCTAAAATAAACTGCAGGAGTAATCTTTACTAAAAGGAAATAGAAAATGTGCAGAACATAACAATCTCAGGTGATAATATGGATAATATCGTGTCAAAGATTGAATATCTGATAATCATTACCGACTCCAATCTAACATTTGAAATATGCATACAAAAAAGTCAAAGAGTTAGGCTTAGTTAGGAAATGTTAAATATATAAGAAACACAATGACCTAATGCTGCAAAACATCTGACATACCTTCACAAGCTGGGGGACAAACGAACGGTTCAACACTGAAGCCATTAGAAACTCTTTACAAGTGAACCCATAAAGTTTTGAACCAGATATTTAACAGATCGCATCGTTGTACCATCCTACACAAAATCAAGCTTGGGTAAGCTTGTAATATTTTACAATTGGAAACATGTAATAAAATACAGGAACATCTGCCTAGTCTTCAAACCTCAATTTAGTTAATTCATAAACCAACAAAAAAATATTGGACAGATCTCTAGAAGCACCACACATGGTGATTTATCAGTCCTGATCTTGATAGCTGAACAAACAATCTGACGACAAGTGGGAGAAAGGCCAGGGTTTTTATGCCGTCAAAGTGATGGGTTGATTGAAGGCAGGTGCTGAGGAACGGCAGGTGTGCTTCGATGATTATCCAGGCAGAGTCAGGGAAATGTGCCACGCCCACCACACGGACAGAGACACAAGTGCACAACACAAGAATGGGGGAAAACACAGGGAAACACAGTCACGACTGTCATCGTGACACTGTCTCCAGAACTTTATTTTATCTATTTACCCTACATGTACACTGTGTACACCACAGTCTTTACATGACCAGACATGGTAGGTGTAAGAAGATGTAGTATAAAGGTCACAGTATTGATTTGATACACACTGTTGATACCAATGCTACAGTATGACTTAAAACACATTTGAATCTGTAATTCCTAGAGCTCATTACCAATTTCTTCAGGGTATATACCAAAATACTTCTTTTCCATCTTTTCACACAATGGTAAACAACATCAGCTGTATCATCTATCCTTCACTAGGGTACTTTTGACTAGTACTTTGACTATCTCAGTCAGTATCATGTTGCTCCCCCATACTTTTTTTTATATAAGATTTTTTATCAAAGTTTTCTCAAATAGCAAATGCACAGTGCTTCATAGTCATTACACAGATATGAGATGAAGATAGGTATATATCAAACAAATGAGAGAAATGAGAGAAAGGGAAACAAAAATCACTCCCATGTCACTGCCAGATTACTAGTCATATGTAAAAGCCATACATATACAGTACAGCTCTGAAAAAAAATAAGAGACCACTGCAAAAAAAATAATTCTGATTTAACTATTTATAGGTATGTGTTTGAGTAAAAGAAACATTTTAGTTTCATTCTTTAAACTACTGCCAACATTTCTCTCAAATTCCAAATAAAACTATTGTCATTAATAGGATTTATATTTATTGAAAAATGGTCAAAGGCAGTGTTTTTAGACTTAAAATATCACTGGCTTGTGACCATCCATTTTCCTCTTGATCACATTCAATGAGGTTCAGGTCTGGAGATTGGGGTGACCAAGACAGGGTCTTGATCTATTGGTCCTCCATCTACACCTTTACTGACCTGGCTGTGGCAAGGAGGATTGTCCTGCTGGAAAAAAAACAGTCCTCAGAGTTGGGGAACATTTTCAGAACAGAAGGATGCAAGTTTTTTCCAAGAATAACCTTGTACATGGCTTGATTCATCAATCCTTCGTAAGACGAATCTGCCTGATTCCAGCCTTGCTGAAGCATCCCCAGATCATCACCGGTCCTCCACCAAATTTCAGTGGGTTCGAGACACTGTGGCTTGTAGGTCTCTCAGAGAAGATGACTTATCTCCAGTCCTCTATGGTCCTATCCTTATGGTCTTTTGCAGACCCCAGCCTGGCTCTTCTTTGCTTCTCATTGATGAAGGGCTTTTTCTAGCTTTACACGACTTGAGCCCTGCCCCTAGGAGCCAATTTCGATTACGGTTCACGCCGTGCACTTCACCCCAGCTGCCATTTGCCATTCTTTTAGTAGGTCAATTAATTCATCCTAGAGTTTCTGACTGACATTCAAATGAGTTGGCGATCATCCTGGTCAGTGGAGAGTCAGTGTCGCCATCTGCCAGCCTGTAGCTTTGTTGTCCTCAATGTTGGCTCGTTCTTATGAACCTCTGTCTTAAAGATTTTAAGGATGGAAACAACCTGACGCTCACTGTATCCCTCTGCCAGTAAATTCAAAACTCTTTTCAACTTTTTTGGCATGGTCAGTAGTTACTTTTTTATATCAATTACTTTTGACAGCACCGTTTTTGCCATCCAGCTGGACCTATTGGAAGAGGATAGTGGTGACCACAGTAGTGGTTTTTATACTTTTCCTTGGAAAAGAGAAAATACTCATATACAAACCAGATAATTGAACATCTATGAAAGCAAACCCTACCAGCCAACATCACACTGAACCTCCAAAATGGCAGGGCTGCAAATGGTAATGGAGTTGTTAAACAGTAACATTAGGGCTGTTTTAGAGACTTGCGGACTTGCTCTCAATGCACTTCTGCGTCTCGTCAACAACACTGCTCCGTTTTTTGGCTTCACTGAATTGTGTGAGAAAGGATAGAGGACCATTTTTATATAGTTCTGCCATTACTCTACTGTATTCTGCTCATGGACTGCAAACATGGGTCTGTAGTCAATTCATTCAAGCTTCCCCCTCCGCCACAGGGAGCCACAGGGGGTTAAGCTAGCGCTAGCAGATTCAGATATACCAGGATTTGCTTTGACAAAGTTAAGGGAAAATTTAAAAAAGAAAAATGGCGTTCATTTTGGTTGGAGGGCTACATGGTTCCCATCCATACATCCTGGGAGGTTATGTTTTATACGGGCATGTAAGTTGGTTGTGTTACCTATTTTTGTTGCCACCACTTTCAAACAAATTCAGCATACTTGCTAATCTGTGTTGATGGGTACAAATGTGACTCAAAGGGTCATCAGCATATAGCAGTAAGCATGTGACACTGACCTGTCGCATGTTAGCTCTTCTTTTGCAATGGAAATTATTAATTGTTTGTTTTTTCTTGTGCTTGGGGTGGAAAAAAAAGGAAAGCTGAAAAATAAAAGGTTGTACTGTAATGTGTGATGTAATTTTATTTTTGTTAAAATTGGTATCAAAAAAAGTATTATTCAGGAACCAGTCTCGAAACCAAGGAATCGGTATTGGTACCGGTACCAAAAATTTTGATTGATACCCAGCCCTGTGCAGTGTGTCTGTCAGTCATATTTCCATTTTAAGTGACAACTTGTTTGGACAAGAAACGACTTAACATATAATAATAACAATCAGTTCTAACTCAGACTCTGCAGCAACTGTCCACCTCTATTCAAAATGAGGCCTGACAGGTTCTATTTTTTTTTTGTTCCTGGCCATCTGGTTTCTACTGTCCCACATGCTCTGACCTGAGACTCCTGCAGTACTCGGCAAAAAACAAAGTTGAAAGTGAATTACTTGTCATTGTGACACAGCACACCACTACACACACACAATGAAATGTGACCTCTGCTTTTAACCCCTCAACAAAGTGAGCAGGGGACAGCTTTAAGTGTGTGTGGACAGTGCCATGCTCAAAGCACTTCACTGGTACGTAACTTGGCAGTTGGTGGAGTTGAACCTGAAGCCTTCCAGACCTAAGTGGAGTTGAACCTGAAGCCTTCCCGACCCAAATCCACTTCTTAACCACTAAGCCACCACTGCCAGAGCTTTACTATCATTGCCCTCACCTCTCTGAATCACTGGTAGAAGTGGTGCTTCATCGCCCAGACATTTTCCACCAACCCAAAGAGGGAATATACAGTACATTAGACATCCTGACAGTCTTTTAGCTAGGACAACTCCAACAGAATAAATTATAATTGTAGATTCTTAGCAGAGGTGGGACCAAGTCATTGCTTTGCAAGTCACAAGCAAATCTTTGCACTCAAGTCCGAATCAAGTCTCAAGTCAAAATAGGCAAAGTCCGAGTCGAATCCAAGTCATGACTGAAAAGTGTCAAGTCAAGTCCCAAGTCCTGCCGTTTTTGTTTCGAGTCCTTTCGAGTCCTTCCACCCCACTGCCACTCCTTTTTTGTTGACCATCTCGTAGTTTTTAAATCCGAACAACACGATCTTTGGTACAATTTTCTCTAACCCGCGCATTGTTCGACAGCTCTTTCTCATTGGTTGTCCCGCAATTTGATTGGCCAACGTTTTATTTGATTGGATGTTGTGCCGACAGCACATGTGCATGAGAGATACACAGCGCTCCTCAATAACTTACTTTATAATCTTTGGGTTTTGGAGAAAGTATCAAGTCTTGTCGAGTCCAAGTGAAGTCACGAGTCATTGACGTTAAAGTCCAAGTCGAGTTCCAAGTCTCTTTACATTTGGTCAAGTCGAGTCTAAAGTCATCAAATTGATGACTCGAGTCTGACTCGAGTCCAAGTCATGAGACTCGAGTCCACACCTCTGATTCTTAGCCAGCCTAGACACGTCAGCTAACGCTCCTGTCAAATCCAACACTAAAACTGTCAAAATTGGTCTGCAGAATGCCTGCTCACTCAAAAACCATTCATCCAGGATGTCATTGAAAGAAGGTTGTAACCTGAATGCCATTTCACAGCTAAACGAGGCCATGCTCCCAAAGCTGGTTACCTCTCTCAGACACATCTTTCCAGAGACTGTATTGCATAGACAAACATAACGTTTACTTTTCAATTACATGTTCAAACTAAGAAAAAATTCAAAAATGTCACCCTTTTTAATACCATGAATAGACCACATGAAATCCTGCCCTTCACTCCACAGCTTTCTGCAACTCACTAACAGATTTCTTTAATGAGAACATCCACACGCTTCCTATTTTGACCATGGTTGCTTTTTTTTTAACTAAGCTCTAATGTATATTCTCAACCTTGCTATCTAATTTCTTATAAAGAAAAAAAAAAGAATATCAAAACGTTCCTGTTTAAATCTGGTCTGTACAATCGTCATTACCTACACTCAATGTCTCAAAACCAAAGCGATCTTTGTCTTGCTGCCTTGCTTGCCTGACACTCTGACAGTAAATGTAGTAAAGTCCTTGGGCCAGAAAAGAAAGAGGATACTGATTGTGCTGTTAAACGTTAGGCAAGAACAAAACAAACAAAAATAGCTATCAACATTAACATGTGAAGGCATCTAAAACCCAGCCCGAATAAGGAAAATTGTGAATGTAATATTTCCCCACATAAAACCAATACACTTAAATGCAAAATTGGGGGAGGAGGTGTGTTTACCATTTGTTAATTTCCCATATATTGTTTCTATATTGAATATGGGTATATATTTTTTTCCACTAGTTGACATACAATCATTGAGCACATTGGTCTGCAGAATGCCTGCTCACTCAAAAAAAACATTCATCCAGGATCTCATTTAAAGCAGGTTGTAACCTGAATGACATTTCACAGCTAAACGAGGCCATGCCCCATCTCTCGGACACGTCTTTCCAGAGACTGTATTGCATGGACAAACATAACTTTGGGGGGAAATTGGGGTAAAACTGGGGGAGGAGGGGTGTTTAACTCTTGTTAATTTCCCTTATTTTGTTTCAATATTTAATGTGGTTATATATTTTTTTCCCACTGGTTGACATACAACCATTGAGCACTTGATGAAGCAGTTGCAATTAACAAACCATGAAGTATCACAGTACTGCAAACCATTCATTATTACACACATATAAAGTATAAAAAAAAGACACATGGCAGAGGAATGCACTGATCTTTTGTTTTGGCTTGTGTGATTTAATAAACATAAATTGACAAAACCAGAAAACTCAATTCGAACAAAAAAAATTACATACATTGGCATAAATATCTATTGTTAAGGGATTTAAAGCTCAAACCTATCATTGATAAATTATAACTTTCAGCTAAATAATTATTTGCAGAAATGTGTTTTTCAGGCTTTTCAGGCACCCTAAAGTTAGTTTAGTTATCATTGGCTCAGTTTATTTACCTTTGCTTCTTTTAGTCTTTCTACATATTTTGCTAACATGTTTTGTTTTGTTTTTTTAATGTATTATAAGTTACATTACTAGTAGGCTACTTTTTCTGAGCTGTTTATGGGCTTATTTGTCGTATATGTCTTATTTGGTCATCTGTATGAACCCGATAGGTGCTTGGATAAAACTCAGGCACAACTTGGACAACTATTACACACACTTTGCAACAAGAACATTTCCTTTGATAACGCCTTTTTTTTTGCAAAACATTGTGTTGATGTTAATTACTCATCACCCACAATGTGGTTCTACGAAGCCTTACCTGTGTACGTTCATTTCCTGAGGCTTAGTTGCTTGGTCGTAGGCAACCTTGGCGCAAATTCCGAAGGTAATAACGAGCGCCACGACCCCACAAGAGATATATACCGTGGTGTTGGTCTTATCCAATTCTGGGTCATACGAGTCCCCCGTGGGCGCCGCGGACGGCGGCTGCTGCGTTTTGATCCAGTCCGGCGTATTATAATTGGTGCAACCGCGTTGCTCAAGCCGTTTGGCGCGGTCGGCGCAGCAGAAGCGCAGAAAGCAGCTGCCGCAACAGAACCGATGGTCGGTGTTGTTGCAGGCGAACTCTTTGTCGTATTGGCCGCTTACGTCGTAGTAGCCCAGGCAGATGTCGTGCTGCGCTTTGCCCACAGCCTGGAGCGACGACACCTTCCCCGGCACCTCCGCGGCCGAGGGGAGTGCAGTTGTGCCTCCGCCGTTGTTGCTGCCATTCACCGCCTTGGACTTGTGGCTCCTATTGTGTGTAGATTTGAGTTTCTTGTGGATGGCGGAGCTGCACAGGACGTTCAGCGGGTCTAAATAAATTAGAAGAAGTAGAAGGTGCGTTTGTCCCATCATTTGAGGACGGACTGGTTTCCAGCCACTCTCCCGCTGCTGCGACTCACTGTCTCGTCTCTACCCCTTAACGCGCAGAGTTTCTCCCTGGTTTCTTCGTCGTTGAATCTCCTTTAGGCGTAGGGTTTTCGTCTGTGGACTCCGGCTGGCTTTGACGCACAACGGACATTTGGCGCATCTTCATAGATTTTTGGTTAAATGCCGTGAAACTGGATCGCTGGGGAGGGTCCGTCCAGGGAGATGTGCCTGTGAGCAGTTCCTCAGTGGGACTGAGAGTTGCGGTTGCTGCGTTTGGAGAAGAAACGACGTTTATTTTTTCTTACATAAAACTATTAAAAAGCAACTTCGATTAAAGTATGTGACAGTGGTGCTCGGATGAACAGATGTCCAAGTGAGTTTCAATTTTAATAAATAAATAAAAAAACAAGTGCAGTAAGAAATTTGAGCGTGTGTTGTTTTCATTAAAAACATAATACTTCAAAAGTTCTAGTTGTTGTTTTTTTTTTGTTCTGATATGGGAACTTATCTGATGCATTTGTATTAATAGATTGCATAGTAAGTGTGCACTGTGGCTTGTCACGTGTCACCAAAAAGAATGTGGCACAAGCCTTCAGTGCAGGAGTGTCAAACATAAGGTCCACGGGCCAAAACTGACCCGCTAGGGGGCTTCAAACCAACCCCCTTGATAAATGTTTAAAGTGAAATAATGCGTTAACACTTAATGTTTGAATGATATTTCTTTCATTAAATATCAATATTTTCTAATAAACATGTACTTATTTGCATGAAAACAAAGAAGAAAAACGTGGACTTCTTGTTATTTATAATAATTACTTCATGATTGGTCCGGCCCACTTGACATCTAATCAGGCTGTATGTGGTCACTGAACCAAAATTAGCTTGACACCCCTTGCTCTAGCGGCACTTTAATGGATCATTTACACTTAATACAAAATGACGGTAAATACATCCTTTGCAGGAAAACACTTTTTTTTTATAAAATTATAAAAAAAAAATGTCTGTTTATCCCATGTTGAGAAGAATAGATAATAAAGATGACACACCTGATAACTACACATTTGGAATATACTCTAACAACTGTGAACACCATGTTAAAACATCTACTGTCTTGACATAGTGTTCATATCCCAAGGTTTCGTTTTCTGCTTGAGTGCATCGTGGTTTTTAATTTCAATATTGGAGTCACAAGGGAACAGAAACAGCAGACCTGTTACCTCTACGCCTTATCACAAAATGCTGCAAGGATTTATTGTCATTTGTCCTTGGCAAGGTCTTAGGTTCTGATACAGAGAAAATACAAGATCACTATGTGTTTAAATGCAGAGATGACCTAAACTTAACCCAGATTTGTGCAAAAATCAATTTTTAATCGCAGAGAGGGACACCTGTGACATTGACAGCCCATAACTATTAGTCTGCCCACAGAATGCAGCAGTAATTGGAAACCTGTGGTCTTTGTGCGCTGGTCCATGCATGGAAGAAAGATCGAAAGGAGTAGAAAGAAGTGCCGGATATTGTTAGTAACAGGTCTCAATTTTCTTTGGGTTTAGTGGGGCAAAAAAAAAAAAAAAAAAAAATCAATGTCGTTCATATGATTTGGGTTATGTTCTAACTATTTGTTTTTTAACTTGGCAAAAGCAATTTTTTGTGCATCCTTGTGAAGGGTTTGTATTGTGCATGGCTACAAAGCTATGTCTGTGTTTGTTTAAAGATAGCGTGGCATTAACTTGTTTTTTTTTGTTCATTTTTTTCATTCTTACATATACTTACACAGGTAATAGGTACATGAAAAAGAGAGAATAAAGGAACAAGGCTTACCGTCTTGATGGTGGTTGATAAAGCAGCACTTTTATCTAAGCCACCAGATTGAAAGAAATGAAGCTACTGCACAAGGGCGGAAAGAATTTTCGTCTTCCTCTCTCCGTAATTCCCTTTCTGCCCCACCTTCTCTCTCTCTCCCTCTGTCTTTTCCTCCCTCCCTCTCTTTCTCGACCTCCTGATACAACCCAGAAAAAAACCCATAATGTGCTTTCATAATGCGCCCAAAACCAATCATTCACAGAAAATGTCCGCAGGAATGTCTGCATCAAGCAAATAAGTTAAGACTAATTTAGGTTTGTCAAGGAAATTAGCACTGTACAATGCATAAGTACGTAACTTGCTGGACTAACTTAGGTTTGACAGTGTCAAGGAAATTAGCAGTGTACAATGCATAAGTACGTAACTTGCTTTTCCTAGGGAATCTACCTCATTATATTTCAGGGGTGTCAAACTCATTTTCACCAGGGAGCCACATCAGCAATACAGTACCCACGAAGGTCCCATTGTAAATGGAAGACTGTATAGATCTAACTACACCATAACGTATTGATAAATATTTGGGCAATTGATTAGTATTCATTCAATATACAAATATTGTTTATTGCTGTTCTTAAAAAATTAGGTTTAAAAATTGCGGGCCATACAAAATGACTTGGTGGGCCGCGTCAGGTCTGCCAAAGCAGCTCATCTGTCTCCTCTTACTTATACAACAACAATCTCCATGTCCTCTTTCACGACATTCATAAATCTTCCCTTACGTACCTCTTCTCTTCCCTGGCGCAACCCCATCCTACATACTAACATCCCTTGTCTGATATATTCAGTATCTACGAACCGCTCCACCTTAACTGCCCTACTGTTCTGGTCATTTCTAATTCTGTCCATCCTGGTGAGTCCTAGATACAATTTCAACATCTTCATCACTGTCACCCAGGCAGTGCCATGGCCTTTAAACCATACATCAAAGTAGGTTTTACTTCTGTCTTGTAAACCTTTCAGGTTTGTTGCTGTCACAAATCACCCATGACAATTTCATTGCCTATTTCAGCCTATCTGCACAGTTTTTTATCTATCTATCTATCTATCTATCTATCTATCTATCTATCTATCTATCTATCTATCTATCTATCTATCTATCCATCTATCTATCTATCCATCCATCCATCTATCATCTATCTATCTATCTATCTATCTATCTATCTATCTATCTATCTATCTATCTATCTATCTATCTATCTATCTATCTATCTATCTATCTATCTATCTATCTATCCATCCATCTATCTATGCTTATACAGTAGGACCAAGCACGGGGTAGATGATGCTACTGCTGCTATACCACAATGGGTATTTAAGTGCCCCGAGGGCCAATTATCTGTCTTTAATGCCATTCAGCCCCACATTTGGTTGAAGAACGCAAACACATAGACAGCACGCCCACAGACACATTTAAACATTTACTGACAATTCAGCCACTGTCTTATGCATGGCAATGAAAGTACCTGGGTAATCTAATCGATTACTGGCATAATTGTAATCACAAGACCAAGAAAGTACCAAAAAATTTGCAACGATTTGTGGGTATAGGTTTCTTAGTGCCAGGGCCAAAGTTGCTCTTTCCAAAGTTCTGAAGGGCAGTAGCTTGACTATGACCTGGATGACTGAGAATCTTTATAGGCATCTAAATCATAGATACACAACAAAGCAGCCTCACAGAACTGTACAAAAGTGCAGTATCACCCTCGGGTTCAGGTATTTGTTTCTCTTCTGTGAAAACCAATAGATTTCAACACCCAACATTTGTTTCTAGTGCCATTTCTAACCTGAATTCAAATCTTAAGAACACCCTTTTAATGGGGATGTTCGATAATACCGGCAAGCCGATTTTATTGTAATATCGGTAAGAATTGTGATCGTTTTTTTTTTTGCTCTGATAATGAAAACAGAATGAGCGATTCAATGATACAATGAAACAAAAATGTTGTCCTTTGTATTTTATTTGTTTATGGGTTTTTTTTTTTCAAACCTTCATTTGAACCCATCCCTGGGGAAAGTGGAGACTCACAGCAGTGAACAGGGAAAATAATAATTTTGTTAGCCGGTCCAGTTTTACATTTTTACAAAAACACAACAGGACCGTTAGGGGAGTCACAAGGACTCTTACAGCAGACAGGCTTCTATTTTTACTTGCCTTTCTACCGCAGGCATTTCATTTTGAATAGAGGTCAGGTGCTCTGTTCTGCTAAGATGTGGCCTCTTTACCTAACTGCGCTATTAAAAAAAAAAGGCAACGGCACATATTAGATTGGACAGGTCCACATATGTTGTGTTCTACTTCAATTACAATTACATAAAGATGAAGACGACCTTCATCAACAAGGACGTGTTAGTATCATTCAACAGGTGTTATTTTAACAGCTGCACATGGAAGTGCCTAAAGTACAGAAATGAAATTACCATACTATAGTCAAAGTATGTAGAGTAGGGGTGTCAAAAATATGGCCCATGGGTCAAAACTGGCCCGCTAGAGAGTTCGATCCGGCCCGCTTGATGATTTTTGAAGAAAAAAAAATTAAAAAAAAAATGCTACATTCATTAAATGCTCACCATATATACAGTACATATGTCACGCATGACATGCCGGTATCTTAGATTTCCCAACCGTACGTACTGTACATGATTGTTTGTTATTCTAATGTATTACCCTGTAAGTATGTGTGGCAAAATGTCTTAGATATACTTTCTCGTAAGAAGTATGTTAGAAAATATATTCATATTAAATAAATGATCATTTTTAAAAACTAACTTTCAAAATTCATCAAGCGGGCCGGATTAAACCTTATATTTGACACATCCGACTTTAAACATAGCTATTCTGTTCGAACATGTCCTTCGTGGATTTTTCGAGTTTTCATAGCCTCCAGCAAAATTCAGTTGTTTAAAGAGAAAAAAAAGTCTGTTAAATGACATTGTTCACCTCCCTGAGAGTGGCATTAGCCTTTTTCCACGTGCCTCATCTGTTATCAAAGTTTTTAGTTAAAGATTGCCCTCCGTCAATATGTGTATGCATATGAACATTTTAGAGCAGGAGTGTCAAATATACAGCTCATTTCATTGTGCCATATCGTCCTGTATGTATGACATATTTGACAATAAAGTTTTGACTTTGACTTTGACTATCTAGTCAGTACAAAATGCTGAAAAAAATCAGTTCATGTGTTTGTTACGTCCAGACTGGACCAATGTAATTCTCTGCTGTCAGACTGCCCTAATATGTCTCTTAAAAGACAGCTCGTACAAATGGTGCGGCATGAGTATTTACAGGAATCAGAAAGAGGGACCATATCACTCCAGTCCTGGCCTCTCTAAAAAGTAACTGTACTGTAAAACTGTATCCTGCTTCAGTCTATACTGTTAATCAGAGGTGTGGACTCGAGTCTCATGACTTGGACTTGAGTCAGACTCGAGTCATCAATTTGATGACTTTAGACTCGACTTGACAAAATGTAAAAAGAGACTTGGAACTCGACTTGGACTTTAACATCAATGACTCGTGACTTCACTTGGACTCGAGCCCTTTGACTCGACAAGACTTGATACTT